AGGTAGTGGAGATTGAACCCAAGGGTACTCTGTCACCAAGCTACATCCTAGCCTTATTTATTTATTTATTTATCTATCTATTTATTTATTTATTTATTGGTAATTGAGCTCAGGGACACTGGATCTTGCTGAGTTCCTGGGCTGACCTCAAACTGGTGATCCTCCTGTCTCAGCCTCCTGGGGATTACAGGTGTGTGCTGTTGCTTCTGGTACCCCTCTCTCTCTCTCTCTCTCTCTCTCTCATCTAAGGAATCTGAGGCTTGTGTGGTGAGGGAGGAATCACTTGCCCGCACTCTGCTGGTAGAGAGTTATCTGTGTTAGGGGATGGCCGAAGAGCAAAATTCTGTGTCTGGAGATGTTAATCTCTAAAAGTCAAAGAAACAGGCCTGAAAACAGAGAAGAATGGCAGGGAATTCAGCACATTATAAATGTCCCTTTCCTTGAAATCTTCTGGAGATAACAAGAATTCCTGACACCCGCCCCCCTCCAAAAGGCTTGTCATTACATCATTCATTCCTATCCTTCATTCCATTCAAATGGATCCTGGCTCCAAACAGTCACATATTAGAACCTGTCCATCCACACATGGAGAACACTGTCGAGGTGCCCCCAGACAGTATAAGGAGGTACAAGGGAACGCCAATAAGCAGACCTGAGTTCTAATCCAAATGCACCCCCCAAACTTCCTGATTAATGGGGCTCAAGGTGAGAGAAGCCAGCCTGTCAAGGAGCAATGATCCCTCACCCTGACCTTCCAACTTTGGGTAACTCTGGCCTTAAGGTGACCTGAAGTATCCCCAGTGGAGGTTCCCTCCTTTAGCCCTCTTCCCAACACAGCTTTGGGGCTACTTAAGACTCATTTCTCCTAGTCAGAGTGGAAGAAAAAAGCACTTGAACCCCCCACCCATCCACTTACACACATGCTTCTCCCAGCTTTGAGCTGGAATCGCTTTCTTGGGGTAGCATTTCCAAAATTCTGGTTAGCCTTGCAGTTCCACCATCTCATTGATAAGCATGTCCATCTCCCAGAAGGGACCTCATCATCTCTGAGAACAGCCCATGGTAAAGCAGAAATTTTATTCAAGTTACAACTTGAAAAGAAAAAAGAAAGAAGGAAGGAAGGAATTTGCTCATAGTAACAGCTGTCATTGAGTTAGTACCTATTATGTGTCAGGCATTATATTTGAAATTATGCACATCTGATCTGATTTAATCATCACAAGACCTCACAATAATAACTAATATTATAATTTTCAGAGGAGCAAACTGTGGATATAAAAAAAATTGAATAACATGTTCAAAGTTAGAAAATCAGAACCCAAACTTTAATCCACATCTACTCAACTCTCTTAAGAGTGTATATATTTCACTAGCTGCCCTGCTGCCCTACCTAATCCTCCTTGCAGCCTAGGGAGGCGGAGATTCTTATCATCATGCTCCAGGACAGATGAAGGGCAGAACCTCAGTAAAGCTGATGATGTTACATCCACAGAAGTGGAAAGGAGGATGCCCTCTTCTTATTCATTTACTCAAATGATGCTGAGCTGAAGAGCAGAAGCCCTGGTAAAAAAACAGAAATGCAAACTGAGTTTATAATGCTCACTAGCTGGTTCACCCTGGCCTGTTACCTCTTTTACCTTCAATCCTTTACAACGGGGATGTTGAAAATAAGTATCTGCTCTTGGGCTCTTGTGAGCATCAAGCAAGGTAAAGCAGGTGAAGCATTAAGCACCTGAGAGCTGTCATTACTCAAGGTTCCTTTGCCTCCGCTTCAGAGGTTCAGATTTCATCTAGATGTTTGACATGTTATCCTGATTCATTATGCAGACCCATGATTCTCTACCTGGCTGGTGTCAGGATTACATGTCTGTCATGCAAATGCTTGGACCTTGGCCCAGAGATTTTTATTCAGAAGGACTAGGGTAGAGCCTGGGCCTTTTCATCTTTACTACATTTCTAAGTAATTCTGGTGCAGAGCCAGGTTTTGGGGGACCAATTCTATCATAGACATCTCAGCCACAGTGGGGAAGGAACTCTGGCTGGTTTTCTCTCGAYGTCCCTTTTCCGCTTTCTTGTCACCACCAGTAACTTTTCTCCCAGGTCCTCTGCACTGGCTTGTGAGAGCTTTCTCCAGATCCAGGACTCTGTGGCCTGGCAGTGATTCAGCTGCAGTCAGAATCCCGGGGAGCCTGCTTTTCCAAAGCCTGGGAACCTAGGAGGGGCTGGGAAACAGGATGCCAGGGGTTCTGCTCTAGATTTGTCCTCTTTGACTCACTGGTGGCCAAGGAGCAGTCAGTCTCCAACACTCAGCTGGCTCCTGCTCATAAGACAGTCAAAAGAGGCAGAATTATTAATTTGAACTCTGCTTCCTTAGGATTGTGTCTTTGGCACTTTAAGACCATAGTGGATGGGGTAGACCTTGGCAGAAAGAAAGAAGGTTTAGAAGAATCTTGCATAACTGTGCTTTTCCATTGACATCTAATTTGGGCAATAAAACCCAGTGTCTACCTTGGTATCTAACATCTTCTATTCTCCGTCCTAGCCTCTGTTCCAATGTCATCTCCTATCCCTCCCTTTCTGCCCTTCTTGCTGTTTCTTGAACTCTCCACGATTGTTTCCACCTCAGAGTCTATGTGCAATTTGCACAGCTTGGAGTGCTTTTGTCACGGAAGATACAAGTCTGGTTCCTTCTTATTCAGACCTCAGCTTCATGTCCCCAGCTCAGAGAAGGCTTTGCTAATCCATCATCAAATCTAAGAAGTCATCCTGGGCACTGGAACACATCACACCATAGCACACACATCACTTTAACTTTCATCTTAGCACTAATCACTACAGAATATATTTTTCCTTGTTTGTTTACTTAATGAGTTGCTTGTTGCCTATAGAATGTAAGCTCYATGAAAGCAGGTTCTCAGCAGTTTTATTTCCTGCTGTGTTTCCAGTTCCTGGAAAGTGTTCAGTGATTGTAGAATGAGTTAATGAAGTTGCCCAGCATGAATTGTGATGATTTGTGTGTGTGTGTGTAAACATCTAAGATTCTGAGGAAGGGAAGTGACTACCCCAAATTCAATTCAGTCATTTCATCTTTTTTTCCAGGCGCTTCCTATAAAATCTGGCTGACACACAAACCTAGCTGGTGTGAGGCTTCCAGGTGTGTTGAAAACTTGGAGTTGCCCCAGGAACGAGGCTGAATCTGATGTGGGGGTGAGAAGGCGGAAGGACAGAGCATGCCAAGGGAGAGGCAGGCTGGGACAGGAGAGCAGGGTGTGAACAGCGGGTGGGGGGGAAAGGGGTGATTTGGCTATGTGTCAGGAAGTGTTTCCCTCCACCCTCCCCTGGGGAGAGCCCTGACCCCTAGGTGGCTCTGTTTGGGGGAAGCAGGTGGTCAGGCAGCTACTGAGGGAAGATGAAGGTGTGGCCTGGGCGGTCACCATCTGCTGAGGTCCTAGGCTCGTACTGATCATCCAAAGGAATAATCCCACAGTGGCTCTTGGCCAAATAGGTGATAGGTGAGCTTCCACCTAAAACCTGTTCAACTATAACTTGAAGCCTCAGAGCTGTCCTAGGAACCAGCAAGGGGCCTGGGAAGGGAGAGAAAATGACCACTGAAGAAATAGTGTTGTCAAAGTTGAATGCTTAGTGATAACAATAACAATAATAATAATAGTTTCTATTTATTGAGAGCTTATAATTTACCTGGCACTGTACTAACTGCTTTATATGTGTTCCCTTATTGGATCCTCAAAAGGCTCTCCACAAATAGGCTGTACTATTATTGATATTATTCCCATTCAAGAGATGTGGAAACTGAGGCTCAGTCAGGTAGGTATCTTGTCCAAGGTCATACAGTAAATAGCATAGGCAAGATTCAAACCCAAGTCTGTAATGATTCCAGTGTACTATGAAAACCTAGGCCTGGAGAGGGTTGTTGGGGCAAGTTAAGAGGATAGAGCCAGACTGACCCCTGAAAAGGTGGGGGTGGGGAAGGAGAGTGGGGTAGACGGTGTATAAATAGAAGGCCTGTTTTTATCCCTACACTCGCTCAATCAGGCAAGTGCTCTATCTGGCACAATTTAAGGGCTCTGAATGCCAACCCAGCCCTGTGTCAACCAACTCCCTTCCCAGCACGTCTCTGGGAGCTGAAATGCCTACTGAGAGAGTCATTTCTTTGGGTCAAGACATTGACTCCACAAGACCCCTGTAAAAATACATGGGTTAGAAGAGAAACATCAATCTCTTGGCACCTGTTGAACATAGCAGTCTAGGTTAGCCAGCTGGGTGCTATGAGAAGGAGGCTCGTTTTTGTTGTTGTTTTGGGGGAAGGAAAAGGCAAGGAAAAGTATAAGGTTTTGTTTTGTAATCTGTCTCTCTCTGATTCCAGAAGCCTGGGAATTATAATCCAAAATTCAAAAATCCTAAACTAGACTATCCCCTGGGGGAAAAGCTGGGGGGAAGCAGGGGTGGGGATGAGCAGCGTCTGGAAGACTAACTTCCTTTGCTTTTACTGGATTGACACCAAGTGCCTGCAACTTTAACTAGGTGGCCCCTTGGCTCATGAGACCTGCGGGCATTCATATACCTAATTTTTAAATGATGAATGAATTGTTATTTTCTATTTGCCCCTCCCAAAAAAAGTGGGCTTCTGAAACGCAGAAGGTGATACAAGTGGAGACCTCTGATAGGGGCAGGGAAGACCCAAAGAACCAGGCCCAGACAGCTCTCAATTCAACAGTCACAAGGCTGAAGAGCGCCAGGAGGATGAGGAAAGGTAGGAACCGGTCCCCGCCACCTGCCGGTCAGCAGCCCTACCCACAGGCCCCGGTTGCCCTGGCCTGGTCCCAAAAAATGTGAGAGCCGCCGGGTCCCCCCGCCCCCTTCCCCGCCGGGCCCGCAGGGTCGGGGGCCGCTCTGCCGGCGCCTCCAGCTGGGCGCGCTTCCCGGCGCGGGAGGGGAGAGGGAGGGGGCGGCGCCGGGCGGGGCGGAGCTCCGGCGCCTCCGGGAGCCTTATTCCCGGCCGCGCGCTGGGAGCGCTCAGTCTGCCCCGGGAGCTGCACGCAGCACGCGGCTCRTCGGCCTGACAGAGGTGCAAGGGCTCAAGCCGACAGCGGACTGACTGTGAGCAGACAGTGGCTCAGCGGCTGCGTGCTGTGCGCGGGTCCCAGCTAGGCTTGCACCAGAGGCGGGCAGCACACGGTGCCCGGGGGAATCTCCTGCGCTCCGCCGCCTGGCTCCGGTACCGGTGCCCGGTGGCCGCCGCCTCCAAAGTGATTGCCGCCTTGCCGTCCCCACCGGGTTCGGGACCATGAAGCTGCTGCCGTCGGTAGTGCTGAAGATCTTTCTGGCTGCAGGTAAGAAGACTGCTAACGCCCCCGGAGATCGGGGGGATGGGGACGCTGTGCTGGGGGCACAGGGGAAGGTCGCTGCAGCGCCCCCGAAGCGGGCCACTTGGTGGGGCCCGTGCGCCCTAGCGGGCGGGCGTCGATATCGATGCATGGTGGCTCGGGGTCTAGGTGGGGGTCTGATGCGGCCTCGCCCCTCGCTCGCAGTGTTCTCGGCGTTAGTGACTGGCGAAAGCCTGGAGCGGCTTCGGAGAGGGCTGGCGGCTGGAACCAGCAACCCGGACCCTCCCACTGGATCTACGGAGCAGCTGCTACCCACGGGAGGCGATCGGGCCGGAGAAGTCCTGGACTTGGAAGAGACAGATCTGGACCTTTTCAAAGGTGGGTGTGAGGGCCGCCCAACCTTGGACCCCCGTGGGCAGTTGAAGAATAAGAGGTTCTGAGATTCATGCTGTTGAGTATTCCTGTGGGTTGAGGGTTATTCATGGAGGACCCCAAGGAAAAGCTGATGGCCTGAGAGGGGATTGGTGGTCCTGGAATATAGGTCTTGCTGTCTGTCATTTCTTACTTTGGATCTCACCTGTCTGGGTTGCTGCCCTTCTGGATACTTTGGGGCTAATTGAACAGGCAGGTTGTCCTCTGAGATAAGTTGAGTGGTAGGAAAAAGGCATTCTTGAGATGCTTTCCCCAGAGTTCCCATGTGAAAAAGGGCACAAATCCTCCTTCCCACATCTGGTAACTATTGTGTGTAAAATAGAGACAACAGCCAGGTGTTATGGGCCATGCCTATAATCCCCACCACTCAGGAGGCTGAGGCCAGAAAATCACAAGTTAGAGGTCAGCCTCATTTATTTAGAGAGACCCTGTCTCAAAAACATAAAAAGGACTGGAGATGTAGCTCAATGGTAAAAAGAGAGAGAGAGAGAGAGAGAGAGAGAGAGAGAGAGAGAGAGAGAGAGAGAGAGAACACAAATGTGGAGATATCTAGGTACATATCAAATATCAAGTTTGCAGTATTACTCTCCCACACCCACCTGTCTCCAGGTTGAGGAAACAGGGGAATGGAGTACTCTTTGCCTCTCTAGGTGAGGCCAACACCTTTGGGGAAGGTTATGAATGGTGAGCCCTGGGGTCTTAGGAGGCTATATTGAAATGCTGGGTAACTATGAATGCTATCAAACCTTGGAGATTTCCTAACCACCTTGAATTCTTGAGTAGACTCCAAAAGGGGAAGGACCACATGAATCCCTCCAACCAGCATGTGTACTGAGCTGAACACAGGCATAGGGCAGAGTCCAGAGCCTACTGGCTTCCCTGTCCCTGGCCACCTGCAGAGATTCGTGGGGGTGGAGCAAGGACTAAGCCCTGTGGCCCCAGAATGACTATATTTGGTTGAAAGGGATACCCACCTGATGTAGCCCCACCTACCAGTTAGTTGTTCTTCTCCTTCCTCACCCAGAGTTTCCCTTGGGAAATTCTATCCTTTTTATAAATTGGGAGTCTGCTCCAAAGCTGAGCCTGGGCTCCCACACTTCATCCTCTCTCACTGACATTCTGGGGTCACCCATTGCCTGATCAGCCTGGATTCTCCTGGCTGTCTTAGGCTGGGCAGGGCTGGGCTGGGCTGTGACTCACCTCCCACCCACATGGCTGCTCCTCATACCTCTGCAGACCTGACTCACTGCTCCCTGTCCTTAGCAGGAGCCTGGCTGTCACCCTGCCATTCTCTCCCTCTCCTTTCTGATTGACATGGCCCTCCTGACTTGCTTTCCCTACAGACCTGGTCACTGGGTTCCTCTGACCACCTGCCTCATCTTCTGAGTTCTGAATGGCCCTGGGACTGGACCAGAGATCACAATTCTAATCCCAATCCTGCATGATCTTGGGCAAGTCACTGCTGTTTGAGATCTCAAGGTTTCATCTTTTTTTTTTTTTTTTTAAGAGAGAGTGAGAGGGGCTGGGGATGTGGCTCAAGCGGTAGTGCGCTCGCCTAGTGTGCGTGCGGCCTGGGTTCGATCCTCAGCACCACATTCAAAAAACGAAGATGTTGTGTCCGCCGAGAACTAAGAAAAATAAATAAATGTTAAAAATTCTCTCTCTCTCTCTGTCCCTCTCTCTCTCTCACTCTCTCTTTAAAAAAAAAAAAGAGTGAGAGAGAGAGGGGGAGAGAGAGAGAATTTTTTCAATATTTATTTTTTAGTTTTCGGCGGACACAACATCTTTGTTTGTATGTGGTGCTGAGGATCAAACCCGGGCCGCACGCATGCCAGGCGAGCGTGCTACCGCTTGAGCCACATCCCCAGCCCTCAAAGTTTCATCTTAAAAATGAAAAGCTATGATATTCACTGAAGTCACTTCCAGATTGAGGATTTTAGGTGTGCAGTTTAATGTATTATGCCTACCTTTCTGCCAGACACAGACTATAGCTATGGACAGTAGACACCTTTTTCCTACTGGGAAAAGGGGTTAGAAAGAAGCTGGCATCAGACCCCTGGGCTAGTTTTGGGAGTAGCCCATGGCCAATTCTAGCTGAATGTCTGGGTGAGGTCATTTTTCCCCTAGTCCTCAAAGCCTGGAAAGAAGGGGGGAGTTGTCATTGTTCCAGTCCCTTCTGGATAATTTCTTACTTTTCATCTCTCCACCCCTTGTACACATTGTACCCACCATCCCATAGCACTATAGACAGGACATTTGGGAATAAATGTAAATAGATCTTTGGGAAAGTGGGTAAGTTACAAAGAACATTCAAAAGGGTACATGTTTTGCTCAAAGCAAGGCCCTTTACCAGGGATGACTTGTTTGCTGTTCTCAAACCAAGATCTATTCTGAGCTCATGTTTGTCTCATACTATTAGGAACTCYAAAGGGGGTTACCTGAAGACATATACATTTTTCTTATTAGGACCTCCCACCCCCAAAGCATTAAAGTATTCAAAAGCAATTTTTTTTTCTGTGATGCTCTCTTCCTGCGAGTGGGTCATAGAGTGTAGCAATAAGGAAGTGAAGCTGATTGAAGGCCAAAGAGTGTGAAATAGGTGTCAGGAAGTCAAAGATGGGAGTGGAAGGTGGACAGTGGTGTGGGTGAAGTTGGTAGTATCGCCCAGTGAACTGCAGTTACTAGAGGATCAGCATTCCTTGGAATATACTGTACCCTCTACTTTGTCCTGAGGTTCCCTCTTTCTGGTGGTTCTACCCAGTCTTCCTTCAGCCCTTGGGAGGCACTGAGCCCAGAGTCCTTCCCAGGCCTCTGACTCCAGATGGGATCAAAGAGAATATATTCCTTCCAAATGTGGTGCTGTTCTGATCTTCCCTGGAAGAATCAAAGGCTTAATAGGGTGCCTTTTTCCTACAGTTGCTTTCTCCTCCAAGCCACAAGCTCTGGCCACACCAAGCAAAGAGGAGCATGGGAAAAAAAAGAAGAAAGGCAAGGGGTTAGGGAAGAAGAGAGACCCGTGTCTTCGGAAGTACAAGGACTTCTGCATACATGGAGAATGCAAATATTTAAAGGAACTTCGGGCTCCATCATGCATGTAAGTGTCCCTTCACTGGGTAGAATCCTGTCAGCCACGTGGCTGTTTCTCGTTGTCACTGTTCCTTGAATTCATAATTTCACACAGTTTCTTTTCAACCTCTGGGCGGAAGTTGGGAGGAAGGGAAATATTTTTAGTCAGCGGAAGTCACCCCCCCACCACTACCAAAGAGGATGCAATTTCCTGTGGTGTGGTTTTGTGACGCTCTTGAATCCTTGGGGACATTTCCTGCTTGCCCAGAAATGAGCATGTGGCTAAGAGAACTGGCACCTGGAAGCAGGTTCTTCAATCCTGCCTCATGCCCTACTCTAGAAGTGAGAAGCCAGTAGGAAACACGGCAGAGCAGGTTCCTGGGTGGAGTGGGGCTCCTGCAGGCAGGTATGAGGTGCATTTGGTCACATGCTGTGTCTCAGGTTAGTGTGCACGTGAATGAGCAAATGTGGCAGGACAATACAGAGAGGAGTCATCATGGGAGAGTTGAAGCTCCTCCTCCCTTCTTTCTCACACCAGTAAGGAACAGGAGGTAGGGGACATGGAAAGTATTGACCTTAGGCCACAGTGGTGGGAGAACTCTTCCTTTGTGCAGGATTAACAGGAAATGGAACCCAACCCAGCAGGCATCCAGCCTCTAGTCTGGCAGCATCATCCCTTCCTTGGGCAGGCATGTGGGTGGAGAGGCCATGAGTTCCTTAGGCTCTCTGAAACCAAACCCAGCAAGTCACTGTTTTGGCAACCCCTCAGGATGACAACACTACCACGCTCTCTGGCAGGCATAATGTTGCCACTGTGCCTGAGGCCTGCACCCTATGTTAGGCTGCAAATATCTACTCTTTTGCCCATGAAGAGGCAGACTCTGGGGGTCTTATGACCGGGAGATGCTGAACAGGCCAGAACACTATTGTATGTATGTCTTCTCCCATTCTGTCAAGAAGGCTGACTACCTGTTGTCTCTTCTACCTGTAATTGATCCCTTAACTTTTAAAAGCTTCCTTGACCTATCTGATCACATATAGCAGAGCTGCCCCATATTTGGCAGTTAACATACAGACCCATCATTTCCCACCATGTCCACAGTCACTGTGTCCTTTCCTATAACATCCTTATAAGGAGCTTTTATCGGGGAGGAGTGTTTAAGAGTGGCATAGAGAGTCACCATATTATCCTTCCCATTGTCTCAGGACAGACAGAAATGTTTCTTAAATTTGTAAAACAGCATCATTGGCACAGGGTGGAGATGGTGCTTCTAAGGAAGACAAGATACATTGAGGCCAGGAATCTGTTTGGGCCAAATTGGTCCAGGGCTTTTTGATGGATAGATGTGGAGCTTAGATAGAAGCTCAGCTGAGAATTCTTATAAGACTGCTTCCCTGGAGAGTAGAGCTCAACTGACCACCTAAGCTCAGAAAACTGGTAAGTGTGCCCAGGGCCAACTTCCCTTTGGCTTAGGGATAGTGATGACAGTCATAATGACGCCATCTTTCCTTTATCCCAGATCTTCAGTAATTACCTATGAGTTAAGCCTAACAGGTGTGTTGAGCACCTACTTGGTACCAGGCACTATCCTAGGGGACAGGGAGATGTGGTCTTCCTGGATTTTCAAAAGCTCTCTGCAGGGAAGGCAGGACTTGTTATCAACTTGAAAAATGAGGAAACTGTAGCCAGTAAGTCCGAAGTCATTTGCATGAGAGCAATAGTTAAAAAACTGGATGGAAACAGGACAGGGTCTCAGGTGCCTCATTCCTAGTACAGCATGCTTTTCATGCCCCCAGGCTGCACTGGGTGTTGGCTTTCATCCTTCTTTTCTACTACCTTTGTCCTGGCAGAGTTTGAGCAGGGTTTTATAGAGGGCAGCTGTTGTCTTAGAGGACTCTTAGGCTTTTGCTAAGAGTAAGAGCATAGTAATTTGACTTGAAGACTTTACGTTAGTTTCCTGGGCAGATTTTCATGGGGTGGATTCTGTGTCCAGTGTGGCTGCCTCTTGTCTTCATCCCTTGGTACTCAGGATAGCAGGACGCAGTAAGAAGACACAGACTTTATGGTTTGGGGCAATGCAACATTGCGCATTTACATTTGTGGCTTCTCCTCAGCTCCAGACCCAGGAACCACCATCCAGGGTGTGTCCAGGCTGCCATGGTGAGCTGCAGGCTAGTTGGCTTCCTAAACCAGCCCTCTGCAGCCACCACGAACAGGAAAACCCTTCTGTGTCACCAGCCAAAAGTTGCCCTCAAAGAGTAGTTTCCTGGGGCTCCTGACTGGCTGCTGACCCAGAAATTGGCTGCAGAGTTTCCTGTGGCTGGAGGAAATCTGGGAATGGTTGGACTAGGGAGGACTCTGAGCTGGAAGAGAGGTAGGCCTGGGGCCTTTGCTTATCCACACACACACATCTTGGCCCAGATGCTGCCAAGGAATGGAGGAATGGTGAACCCCCTTCTCTTGGCTGTGTCTGACTCGGGTGCCCCATTCTACCAGATATGGGCAGTATCCTCTACAGTCCAATTTTGTAATAACGCACACATATTTGGGGCCTGGCTTTTTATTAAGTGTTCTTACCCATATTATTTCCTTTTATTTTTTTCACAATGTTCTAGTGAGGTGGGTATTTATTATTCAAAGCTTGGAAAGGTAGTGTGACTTTATCAAGATCACCTGTCTAGAAATGGTAGCAGAACTAGTCTGGAACTCACGTATTCTAAGTCTCCTCCATCAAAAGGTGTCCCTTCTACCTCTTCAGGTAGAGAAATCCAATGTGAATGATGTCTCTGACACTAGACCATTCTTGATTTTGCTGTAATGCAGGTTCTGAAATGGGTCACAAACATGGGGAGGAGAAACATGTTCTATTTTCATGGGCACAGGTTCTGGGTAGGACATTCGATCTTGCCCCCACCCTAGGATGCTTGGAATGTACTCAACCCCCTCCTTCCCTAGTAGATTCCTAGTAGTTGGCTGCAAAGGGAGGGGGAGGTGGGTAATATTAGGATGTTTACATTATTATCCTTTTGACTCAGGGTGGAGGTGGAAGGATTATGTAACTGAATTGCGGGACTCTGAGGCCAAGCTTTATTTCTATCATCTGAGTAACTACCTGTGGGGTTTGGATGATGGACTGGAAGTACAAAACAGACTCAAGTTCAGTACTCACCCCCAACAGAATATAATCTCTATGGTCATCTAGACTGCTGGATTGAATCCGTTCACTATTTAATAGTTATTTAATAGAAGTTATGCCTCAGTTCCTTCATCTTTAACATAGGGAGAGTAACTCTCATTTCACAGAGGTGGTTTTAAAATTACATGAGGGCTGGGGATATGGCTCAGTAATAGAGTATCTAGCACACATGAGGTCTCATATAGTAAGGCTTTAATAGTTTACTATTTATTATTAAAGCTATGAATAAAAAAATAATAATAACAGGAGCAGGGTCAGACCAGGGACTTTTCAGATATCTATTTCCTTAGGATTACTTGCATTGTTCAGAGTGGAAACAATCAATCAGGTGTGGTGGTGCACACCTATAATCCCAGCTGAAGCTGAGGCAAGAGGATGTCAGGTTCCAGGCCAGCCTTTGCAACTTAGTGAGACTCTTTCTCAAAATTAAAAATAAATTAAAAGGACTGGGAAAGAAGTTCAGTGGAAAAGTGCCCCTGGGTTCTGTCCTCAGCACATTTTTTGGAGGGGTTCAATCCTCCCCCGCCCTGCCCCGCAAAATGAAGAGAATCATGAGTTTGGGATTTGCTAAGAGTGATTTTTGACTTGGCTCTATGTTTCCTAGTTGTGAGATTTGGCAAATCACTTAACCTCTCTGCCTACTAATTCCTGCATACAGGTGATTTTCCAAGGACATCCTTGGAAACTTTTTTTCCATGTCTTGGTAGTTTGGGGGTCATTGAGTTTTTTTTTTTTTTTTTTTTTTTTTTTTTGTTTCTGTTTTTGTTTTTTCCTAGCTAGGCTAATGGGATAGAGGCATGGAGAAGCCAGGCAAGCCACTGTGTACTGTTCTGTGTGGATGGTTGCCCTGATCTACATTTTCCCTACAGTGAGGTGGTTCCTTAGAGCATCCAGGAGGAGCTAGGGCAGAGAGCAGGGAAGGACAGGAAGGCAGGGTCAGGGATGTAGCACAACCCAGCCTGACCCCTCTGCCACCGCCAGAGACAGTGATACTCAGGGCAGAAAGCAGCAAGAAGACACAGAGTTCCTGGTTTGGGGTGATGAGACATTTATGCTTCTTCATCTGAGGCCCTCTGTGGCTCCTCTTTGCCTCAGATCTGCTTCTTGAATCTTCCCTGGTGACTTGTCAGCAGGAAGAAGGGCTTCCTCACTCTGAAGCACCAAATACACTCCTTCTTTCCCAGAGAAGGTACAGCTTAGAAGAGGGGGCCTCCAGCTTCTCAGTGCTTCCTTCAGCAGCTAGTGGCTTAATGTCCCTGGGCTGTTAGTGCCATTGCACCCCCTGACTAGCAGGTGGGCAACTGTGGGGTATGAGTGGACGGCATGCTGAGCTCAGACAATTCACATCCATGCTTCTATCCTATTGTGAGCTTGGAAAGCCACTAAACCTTTCTGTAGAGTGGGGCTCCCACCTACATCAAAGGACCTCTGGGGTGTTCAGATAAAGGAAGGGATGTGAATGTGCTTCGTTAACTCTGAGCACTTCCAAGTCTTCCTAAAAGCTTCAAGGAAATGCTTTGTGTTATAAGAGGCAGTTGCCACATGATTTATTTCTTGAGTGAGTAGAGCCAAGGAATTGTTTCTGACATTCTTTTATGCTCTGGCAGAGCAGCTGGGCAGGAAGATGTTATCTTGGTTTGTTTGCTTTGTCCTGTGATGGAGGAGGCCTGAAAGCCTAGCATTCAGAGGCCAAAGGCTCCTAGGTTGTGCCCTGCACCCAGGGGGAGCTGGGAGTTAAATGAAGAAAGGGAGAAAAATGACTCTTGGCAAAGGAATAGGCCTATTAATAGGCTGGGCAGTGGTGGGGAGGGACTGTATGCTGGAAGCATTGATGGGCAAGGCTGGGTTTATTTCTGGGTCAGAATGTTGAGGGGCCTCACTGAGGGAGTGATACTGAATCCCCTCAACTCAGCCCATGAGCCCTTGTCCCCAAGTCCTCCTAAGTGGCCTGAGCATACATGTAATAAATCTGCCACAYGTGGAATACATCTAAACTGAGAACTTCAAATCCTCACTTCTTCCTGCCTGGAGCAGGACTCTAGGTTAGAGAACCAGAGGGATTGGTAAAGATAAGGTGCCATATGGGGGAAATGCTATGAAACATTCAGAGGAGATTTTCCAGAATATTCTACTAAAGGAGCAGTATAGAAAAAGGGCAGATGGGCTGGGGTTGTGGCTCAGTGGTAGAGCACTYGCCTAGCATGTGTGAGGCCCTGGGTTCGATCCTCAGCACCACATAAAAATAAATAAATAAAATAAAGGTATTGCGTCCAATTACAACTAAAAAAAATATTAAAAAAGAAAAGGTCAGAGCTCATGGGCAAGGATTGACAGGCTAAGGGTGTGAGGAATGGGGTTTGGCTTAGGTAGTTAGGCCATTGCAGGGATGGAGAGAAAAGAGAGAGGAGACAAATCACTAACCCCATCTGCTTGTTCTTTCCTAAACCAGCTGTCACCCAGGCTACCATGGAGAACGGTGCCATGGGCTGAGCCTCCCGGTGGAGAATCGCTTGTATACATATGATCACACTACTATTCTGGCTGTGGTGGCCGTGGTGCTGTCGTCTGTCTGTCTGCTTGTCATTGTGGGACTTCTCATGTTTAGGTGAGTGATGGGGGGCCCTGTTTCTGTAAATCACTCCTCCTCTTCCTCTTATTGGACCTTCTAACTGATGATCACATGAACCCTGTTCTTATGCTCACAGATCCTGGGATAGTTCCTGGGTGCAGGTTCTCCAAAAAATCTCTTGTCTCAGGCTTGATATAAAGCCAGTGCCCAGACCAGGGTAACACTTACCAGGCCATGGCAGGTTCTATACCTCAAAGGAGTTTGTTTCCTACCTCTGTGGCCTGGTAACTCACCCATAGAGCTACTTCTTCACRTGTTTCTTTGTCTTATCTCTGTTCTTTGATGACATTGGTATGTGGTTTGGTAGTAAGGGTACAGGTGGGACTATTAGTCTGTCCTTGCAATTCTGAGGTACCTGGACCTTGGGCCAAAACACCAATCCAGATATGTTGTAGGTTGGGGGAGACCTGCCACGCACACTCTGCCTGTTTTCAAGCAGTGCGACTTATCCATAGTGAGACTTGGAATGTTACCTGTCTTTCTGAGAATTGTAGTCTTTTAGTGGTTGTACACTGTCTACCTGCCTATAAGGCTGTTATGAGGTTCAAACAAGTGAGGTGAAAACTCTTTGTAAAATGTAGCCTGCTGTTAAAGACAGGCATCCTCAGGACAGCTGGGCTTTGACCAGAGTTGTGTGGGGCTGCCACACCCTTTGGGCTTTTCTAAATAATGGAAGGAGCCTCCGTGGCAGAGTTGTTTGGAAGGACCTGCTCTTTGTCCATAGCAGGCAAAGCTTGCTCACAAAGCTTGCTTCTCTTCCTCAGGTACCACAGGAGAGGAGGTTATGATGTAGAAAATGAAGAAAAAGTGAAGTTGGGCATGACTAATTCCCACTGAGTGAGACCTGTGCTTAAGGTAATGGTTCATCCTTTGTTCCCTGGCAGCATCAAGGAATTAAGGCATGCATGGGTCTTGGGTCCATTTCAATGAGTGTTGACTTCTCTTGACTAGGGGTTGGGGGACAGCCTAATGTAGAATCAGGGTCCCATTTCAGAATTGTTTTCAAAAAGACTGTTGGTGAGTCATCACCAGTTAGGATGAAAGTTATTAGAGACATACCCAAGAAAGATACCTGAGAAAAAACAGTTTCTCCCACCCTTGGCACCTCTCTTCCTTCCCTTCCTAGATGATCTGCTGCACTTCTTAAGACTGAACCCAGGAGACTCCTGAGACCTCTTTAGATTGGAGCTGGCTTTAAATGTTTTTGCCTTATCTTTTAGGAATCTGTGGGGGATGGCTCCCTCTGAGAAGACACAAGTTCTCTGCAAACTCTGCAGAGGGAAAGGACTTCCCAACTAGCCATGAAGACTTCTTTGTCCCCAGTTGCTATCTCTATCGGGCCTCGCATCATTGCTTTGCCAAAATACCAGAGCCTTCAAGTGCCAAACAGAATATATCCAGTGGGATCTGGATCAGAAGAAAGTAAAAGTGATCAAAAGAAAAGCAAAAGCAAGGAAACTTCAGGCCCTTCTGATTCCCTTCCACCAAATCCACTTCCCCCATCAGTTTGTTTAGACACTTATTCTGGATTAAAATGCCAGTTAAATTCCATATGCTCCAGGATCTTTGACTGAAAAAGGAAGAAGGAGAGGAAGAAGGAAAGTTTTGTGGACTGGAAGAAAGCAATGAAGATTGAGAAGCCATGTACTCAAATAGCCACCAAGGGATCTGCTATTTGGACCCTCCAGCGCTGGATTTGATGAGCTAACTGTGAAATGCCACAAGCCCGAGAACTCTGAATTTTGGGACTTCTGCCCAGATGAAAAGATAACAACTATTTTTTTTTTGTTATTGTTTGTTTGTAAAATGCCTTTTAAATTATATATTTATTTTGTTCTATGTATGTTAATTTATTTAGTTTTTAACAACCTAACAATAATATTTCAAGTGCCTAGACTGTTACTTTGGCCATGTTCTGACCCTCTTTCTTGCATCCCCACCATCTGGCTCAATGCCACACTCCTGAAGCAAATATGAGATGGTTCTGTGACCCATCTGTAGTAATTTATTGTCTGTCCACATTTCTGAAGATCTCCCAGTTTCACTGTGCCCCAGGGATGTTCTGTATGGTTGGGATGTAGGGGTTAACTCGGTCAGAGCCACTCTATGAGTTGGACTACAGTCTTGCCTAGGCAACTTTGTCTACCGTTTGTGTTTTTGCAAGCCCAAGGTGCTGATGTCAACGTGTAACAGAAAACAGTGTTTCCCTGTGTTCTCTCCCTGCCACATCTCAGAAGAGATGGAGCATCCATGCCTACAGCTTTCCTGTACCCTCGTCCCCAGCCCTGGACCTACAGAGCGGGGACCCACTCCCTTGTGTCAAGACATTTCTCTTACTCCTGCCATTCTTCTGGTGCTACTCCATGCAGGAGTCAGTGCAGCAGAGGACAATATAGAGAAAGTATTAGCAAAGAAAAAGACTGAGGAGGAACAGGGAACGTTGGAGTTGATTTTTCTTGGTAATTGATTACCTACCAGTTACTACAGAGAAGGTTGGTGGTGGGGAAGGCTTTTGGGTAACCCCACCTATCTCACCAAAACTACAAAGGTATGCTGTATGGTCCCTTCTGGAAGTTTCTGGTGCCATTTCTGAACTGTTACAACCTGTAGTTCCAAACATGGTTCATATTTATACTTTGCAATCCAAATAAAGATAATCCTTACTCTGTAGTCTGCTTGTTTTAACTGGAACTAGTTTAACATAGGTATTTTTCTATTTTTTGCTGTCCTTTTGATTTAATACAGGGTCTTGCTAAGTTTGTGATCCTCTTGCCTCAGCTTCTTAAGTAGTTGAGATTATAGGTGTCTACCACCCCATCCAGCTAACATTGCTTTATATTTCTCCATAACTCTAATCACTACTAACATATTTATTGTCCATCAGTTCTACTAGAATGTTGGCTGAAGATGTGGCTCAGTGGTAGAGTTCTCACCTAGCATGCATGAGCCCTGGGTTCAATCCCCAGCATCACATGCACACACACACACACACACACACACACACACACACACACACACAAAAGCCTACTAGAATGTTAACTCCCAAAGAGTAGGAGTGCATATATTGTTTCAGTCTGATTCTTAAATAATATGACTGAGTTGTAGGCATTCAATCTTTGTTAGATGGATAAATGAATATAAGAAACAATTAAAATCCAATCCAAGGCCAGCAAATAGGTAGATGCAATCCAACACTGCTCTGAAAGTGGTTAAGTTTAGAGAGGGGCTGCTATTGGGGAGGGTGAGTTCGATGACAGGATGAAAGTGGAATTTGGGGCCCATCATGTGGCGTGGTGTCCTGGTGGACTGAAAGCAAACAGATCCACTGGGAAGCCATTGGACAAATGCCTCTGGACTGCCCCTCCTTAACTTCATCTTTTTCCCTTGGAGAGTTGTGACATTCTGAAGTGTCTCCAGGGGGCCACACAGAGATCTTAAATATACTTCGAATATCCTTTTAGAACTTTGGGTAGCAGTAACTACCACAGCTGAACATATGACTTTATATCCAGCAATTCCACTCCTAGATATATATAAAAGAGAAACGAGTACATATGTTTACCAAAAAACATGTAAAAGTGTCATATTATCATAACTTACAATAATCAAAAACCAAAAAAACAAAAAATTACCCAAATACCCATCAGTATTTGATGTGAAATGAATAAGTTGTGGTAGATCTAAACAATGAAGTACTAAATAACAATACAGATGAATCTCACAACATTGAAAGAAATAAGCCCAATAAAAATAAGGACTTCTGTATGATTCCATTTATATAAAACTTAAAAACAGGCAAAACTGAGGCTGAGGTTGTGGCTCAGTGGTAGAGTGCTTGCCTAACATGTGTGAGGCACTGGGTTGGATTCTCAGCACCACATACAAATAAATAAAAAAGGTCCATTGACAACTAAAAACTATTAAAAAAAAAAAAAACGCAAAACTAATCTATGGTGAAAAAAATCAGGAAGGAGCTCCCAGCTGGGAWTGAACCTCCAATGTTTTGATAGTTTTTCTGAGACTGGTGTTCACTTTGAGAAAATTCACCAAGTATAACTCATGCATTTTTCTGTACGAATTGTACTTCAATAAAAAGATTTTGAAAAACTTGGACAGGGAATTCTTTTGCTATTTCATTCTGTTTAGTTCTATAAAGAACCAACATCTGACTTTAGTAGTCAGAAAGAATAGTAAAGATGTCAGAAATAACTATGGAGAAGAGAGTTTCTTTGAACTCTCTGTGGGGCTCCCTTTCCTGCTTCCAAACTTCTAGTCTCAAGCCCCTACATTTGGCTGGGCTTTTTCCAGCAAGCTTTGTTTCTCCAGCTAATGTTTCCTCAGGGCTTCCTGCCTTTCAGATGCTCTCTCCTACTGTCCCTGTTGCTGATGGAAGTTCCCTTGGAGGTCCTCTAGGCWTCTTATTGTTAATACAGTGGCCCTGAAGCCTCTGATCCTGCAGTCACTTCTCAAGATTGGATGCCAGAAGAAACAGACCCCTTAATTTTGCAAAGCATCTATCTTTTCTTCATGGGCTCCCCTTTCAGCCTTCTTTGAGATACTTTCTCTTATAATGGTCAAATAATCACTACTAGGTTAATAAATATTTAACATTCACAGAGTGCTTACTACATATGGGCACTGGACTGTATACTTCATAGGCAATATCTCATTTATAACTCACTTTGTCCTAGAAGGTAGGTGTTCTTGCTATACCTGTGATGTAAGTAATTGAGGCTGAGAGGTGTTATGTCATATGAAAAAGCTGTTAAGTGGTAAAGGCAGAATGTAAACCCAGAAAATCTAACCCCCAGGCTTGTACACTAACCACCAAGTTACACTCCTAAGTGAATTCTGGTCAGACTGGTTTTTTCTTCTTCCCATACCCAGGAATAATATAGTAAAGAAATCATAAGAAAAAGATTTAGTGAGTAACCCCTTTGAGCACAAGAATTTCTTCTCCTGCCCTTAATGTATAGATTCATAAAAGATGGTCTTAGCAGGGTGCAGCAGAAGGAATAGGAATGCAGGCTGACCCAACTTGGGCCCAAGTCCAGGCTCCACTGTTTATTTGCGAAGTACCTTCACACATGATAGCTAGCCCCTCTAAACTGTCCCCTGTTCATAAAATATACTAAAAAATCTACCTGGAAGATATTGTAAAAATAGTAAAACCTGAGTAAACTACTTAACTCAGGCACTTGCTAAGTGCTGAGTAAATGTTGGTTATCTGAATTGTCCAAGGAACAAATGAGTGGCGCATCTGGAATTGAAACCCAGGCCTTTGATTGTCAGTTCACCATTCTTTCCTTAGAAGGAAACAATGCTTTTCAATCACTGTTTCACATTTTAATGTCAACTTCAGTTTCAAAGGAGCCCTAAAAAGTCTTAATAAGTATTTGTGGATTTAAGCAGCCATGGAACAACAAACTCTGTCCAAATATATCACTTCAAATCTGCTGGCCTGAAATTCTTCTCTTTGTCAACAATGCCTGAAATTCAAGCTTCCTCTTTGAGAATGCTAATACTCCTGGGAATAGCTATGCGTTAAGAGGCTGACATTCTTTGCTGGTGTAATTCATTTTAGCTTCATTCACTTAGCAAATATTTGTGGAGCCCTCCCTATCACCTTCCAAATGAGATCCCCATTCTGAAGGAGGAGAGTTGGGGGAGAAAAGAAGTCATTTGGGGGCAAGGATATTTATTTTTTTATTTAAAAAACAATTGGGTACTGCTGGAGATGTGGCTCAAGCGGTAGCGCGCTCGCCTGGCATGCGTGCGGCCCGGGTTCGATCCTCAGCACCACATACAAACAAAGATGTTATGTCTGCTGAGAACTAACAAATAAATAAATATTAAAAATTCTCTCTCTCTCTCTCTCTCTCTCTCTCTCTCTCTCTCTCTCTCCTCTCTCACTCTCTCTTTAAAAAAAAAATTGGGTACTTAATTGTAAGGCATGGTGGTTCGAACCGTAATCCTAGCTACTGGAGAAACTGAGGCAGGAGGATTTCAAGTTCAAGGTCAGCTTGGGCAAATTAGCAAGACCCTGTCTCAAAAATTAAAAGGGGGGGGGGAGAGAGAAAAGAAAAGGGTTGGGGAGGGGTTGGGGGTGTAGCTCAGTGCTAGATTTCTTGCCTAGCATGCATGAGGCCCTGGGTTTGATTCTTAGCACCACATAAAAACAAATAAACAAAATAAAAGTATTGTGTCCATCTACAACTTAAAAAATTTTTTTAAAGGTTGGGGATATAGTTCAGAGAATCCCTAATATGAGGGGGGGAAGCACTTAAAATGTGCCAAGTACTATTCTTGTCACTGGAGAATCAGCCTCTTGTTCAGTGAAAAACACTAATGCATGAACCAACAATACACATATAAAGAAAGTAACAGACTTCAGAAATAAGTATACACACACACACACACACACACACCAGTGATGTTCTGGCATCAGAGGGGTCAGTTATGTAGGTGGGACAGTTATATAGGTGGTTCAGTTATGTAGGTGGTTACCTCCCTGAGGAGGTAACATCTGACCTAAAACAAGCAGGGATCAGTCATGTGAAGGCCTGAGACAAAAACAAGCTTAGTATGCATGAGACAGAAAGGGGCTCCTGGAGCTACAGCATACTTACCAGAGCTTGAGAGGGAGGCAAGAACCAGATCACAAGGAGTCTCGTAAAACAATTTGGAAACCAATGGAGCACTCTGAGCAGGGGAGTTACATGATTTGCTATATGTTTCAGAAGTATGACTCTACTAGGTAGAGAAGGAGTTCTAGGAAACAAAAGTTGAAGAAGCAAGACAATTAGGAGTCTATTGTATTGTAAGAAGCGATGGTGGCCAGGATTAGAGTGGTAGCAGAGGAGATGGTAAGGAATGGTCAGATTTGGGATGTATTCTAGAGAAATGAGCTCTAAGACATACTGATAGAATGAATGTGGTTGTGTGGAAAAGAGAGGAACAAAGTATGGCTTCTTGGTTTTTAGTCTGAGCAACTGAGTAAAGGATGATGCTTTAATCAATATGGGGAAAAAGCAAGTTCGAGGGGTCATGGAAATCAAGAGGTTTTTTTTTGTTTTGTTTTTTAGATGTGCTAAGTTCATGTAGGGTGAAAGAGGGCAGTGAGAATAAGGGTGATGTAGGGAGGATTTTAAAAAATAAATAAAAAAGAGGCACCAGGTGCAGTGGTACACACCTATAATCCCAGCAGCTGAGGAGGCTGAGGCGGGAGCATTGCAAGTTCAAAGCAAGCCTCAGCAACTTAGCAAGGTTGTGAGCAATTTGGTAAGACCCTGTCTCCAAATAAAATATAAAAAAGGGCTGGTGATGGGCTGGGGTTGTAGCTCAGTGGTAGAAAACTTGCCTAGTAGGTATGAGGCCCTGGGTTAAACCCCAGCACCATATAAAACTAAATAAACAAAATAAAACATTGTGTCCATCTGCAACTAAAAACAAACAAACAATAAAAACAGAAAGAGCTGCTGATGTGGCTCAGTGATGAAGCACCTCTGGGTTCAAGCCTCAATACCAAAAAAAAAAAAAAAAAAAAAAAAAAGTCAAAAGAAGTATATTTTGTTCCTGAAGATGGGAAGAAATAAAGACACCTGGCCTTTTGTACAGTGTTTCATAGCTCTAAAGTATATTTCTTTTATAAAATCTTATTTAATTCTCAA